GTTTGTAGAGGATGAGCTTGCCCTGAACGTTTGCGCAGGACTCAATGAAGCCCTCCGTCAGTTGAAACCTCCGTGGAAGGCATACATCCTTCGAGCTCAGGTAGCCATGAATGGAAGTTTTGTACTAGAAGCGTCTTTGTACCAATGAGAACGGGTGATGGGTTCTTCATAAGAGCCTCCAACGATCCGAAGAGTGCTTTCATCTCCTTGCTGAACTGGGCCCGGTCCTTGATACCGATGCTCTCTTCCTTTGCCTTTTGCTTCTCTCGGGCATTGACCAGGAATTTCATAATAAGGTTGCCAACCTTGAAAGTTGCGCGCAGCCGTCGAGAGCTCTCGGGATCCGTGGGTTTGGCCAGCAATCGACCAAGACTTTGCATAAGACACGAAGTAACAAGGGAATGGAAGATCTTGGTCCGCGCATACTGATCCACCAGAGGCTCGAGGTTGAAGCGTCGGTCGTGTACGATACCTAGCACGATAACAATGGCGTTGAAAACCAAGTCTTCGTATTCGTCACTTCCGGCGTAGTGGCTCTGTATAGCAAAGAGGGCGTCGAATACCTCGCTCAGAAGCTTGACAATCTCAATCTCTGGGACGAAGTTGAAGCGTCGCAGTAGCCCCACGAGCTCTCCAGCTGGCTGGTCCTGCCACTTGATGAGACCCAGGATAGTCGGGTCTTGCGAGTATCGTGTGCTGCAGAGGAAGGTCTTTACGTTAACCGCCGCCATTGGGCCCATGACGTGCTCATCCTTCTTCTTTGCGCTCCATGGCAAGCCAAGGTACGCGCCCTTGCCAGCAATCATGCCCGACGTGTACTCGTCATATTTGTACAAGGTCAGGGCGTGGTCTCCGTCACGAGCAAAAGCATCTTTATCCCAGAGGGGCATCCAACATAGGGCGAATGGGAAACCAGGTGCATCGGCGACACTCATAACGAGATGCGATCCGGGGACGTCCTGCGGGTCAATGGCAAGTCGAATGGTCGAATTCCAGCCTTCGCCTCGTTGGGCTGCTGTTGTGCGCCAGGCTGTGTGGCCTGCGCTGTTGGCTGAAGGGTAGATACATCCTTCTATGCGTTCTCCGGAGCTCTTTCTGACCTCGATCGTAAGCTGCAGATTGTTCATCGGTGAGGACGATAACAACGGAACAGTGCCAGTCTTTGGGTGAGCTAAAAAGGCGTTCTTCGGGAGGAAAGGCTCGGCAAGTGTCAGGTAGATGTCGCTTCGTGGCTTGGTCGGAGCACCCGAGAAGCCAATCTTACGGCACTGCTTAATGTTGTGCAGCATGGTGGGGATCTTCTCGATGAGACCTTCGGCATCGGCGTGTACAAAAGCTTTAAGGTGTATGGTAAGTCGGCTGATGGGCGTATTCCGCTTGTACTTTCCACTGGCGCTTGGGTAGATTTCAGGCAATATGCTGTCCCACATGTCGTCCTCTTGAGACACGTCCTCGCCAGGTGCAGCGGTACAGAACATGCTGACGGTTTGGTCTGCCTCTGACCGTGTCTGCAAGAGGTGGTTCACCGATGCGACACCCACGGCAACGCATCGCTTCAGCGTCCTCTGGTCTCGAGATAGAGCGCGGGCTCGGGTGGTTCCTGCGGCCGATGATCCTGGCCGCGTGTCGGATGACGACTGTGATTTGGTCTGCTCGACACTTTGGCGTCGGCGTTCATCGATGGAGTCGGCTTGTCGTGAGTCGGATTGGCGGGAGTTGGTAGATTCCTTTCGCTTAGAGCCGAACATAACGCTGCGCCTTCCGCTCTTGATGTTTCCCTCTTGGGAAGGCGGGACGCCGAGTGCTTTGTTTTGTGTGGCGTCTTTGGCCGTTGTGGTGCTTGCCTTTTCCGTGGCACTTACCGCACGCACCGGCTCATTCGTCATCAGTCGGAAGACAAGATATAGGGTTGAGCCGGAGCCGGCGCCTTCGCCAATATCAGTCAGGCTGAGGTCTACCAGCAGCGCGCGAAGTTTATCACCAGCCAGCGATACGGCGGAACCGTCTCGTGAAGTCAAATCGAAAGAGTATGCCTCGGAGAGGGGTTGAAGGGCAGCTCCTGGTGGCTTCATACAGAGATACATGCTGATTTGAGCTGCACCGTTTGTCACATCGCCCATGACGTGCTTCAAGCTTACAAAAAGATGGTTCAGGTTGTGCTCATCGAGCTGTGGTGTTGGCCGACTGTCCAGTAGACTCATCATGGACTGCAACTTTGTCACCTCAATGGCTGAGTCGTCCCCTGTCAGAATGCGGCCGCGCTGCGAGGGACTCCGCACAATGACATCTCCACAGAGCATCTTGTTCCCCGCCACGAGATCCCACACAGTCGCCTCGCGTACTGCCTCGAGCTCTTTGGCTGTGAGCACCTTGTGCAACAGCTGGCGGCGCGCCGTGTCCAGACGCTTCACTAACCTCGACATCTTGTCCAATGAGCCATATTTGCGTGCGAGCAGCAGCTCGTGAACTTTGGTAGAATGCCACTCGCGTAGGCAGGACGCAATCTCATCCACCAATGGCTCCTGAGTCGATGTGGGTGTTTCGTCGCCAATCTTCAGCATGGGAACGGGCGCCGGGGGTCGCGGGGCGCCGAGGTCTGATATGGGCGATAGCGGAAGCATCAATTGCTGGAGGTGCTCTTCGCGCGCCGTCCACTGCGAATTTGTGCTGCCCGCCCGTTTCCTGGCCGACTTGCGTTGTGAGAGGGGGCGCGAGGCAACAGAAGGCAGGGCGGGAACGCCGGCATCCCTCGATGCTCGTCGCGCCTGGGAGCCTGAACTTTTTGTAAATGGAGACGTCGTACGTGTGCTTTCCGTGGGCGTGACGACGCCGTTGGTCGCATGCATGTAGTGACTCCCATGGCCCGTCTCGTTGCCCGATTCCCGGCTCGTCGTGTCCTTGCCTTCGCCTAGAACCTCACGGACTTCGACACATACTCGTGGGAATATACCAGAAAAGACGCGTGCTTCGAGCGTCTGTCCCTTGACACTGGTCAGGCCAGCCAGCAGCGAGGGCGGCGCGACCAAGTATCCACGATACCACGAGGCATCCTGACCGCCCTGCTCGATTATGTAGAGCTCGTCACCGATCTCGAGGGGTAGGTCGGCGGGCGAGGAGGGCTGAAAGGGGTATGTGCATATTGCGAACGCGATGCGCGGGAGCGGTCTCCAGCTCGGCATGGCACCAGACGTATCGGGCTATATTGGCGGGAGGCGGCGACAAAGCATCACGAGCGGTCGACGATGTTGTTGTGTGTGGAGGGCTCCTCCAAATGGTTTCAGACGTGGACGCTGATGCTCGAATGCACGGGATGCCCCTGATGGCCTTGCCGAATCGAAATCTGGGGACGCTATGCTTTCACGCCCTTTAATGGTAAGCGGGGCACGTCCGGTCTTGGGCGGAGCGAGATTATGGTATTCTTTGAGTCGCGTCGGTCGCGGATCCGGGTCGTGGGTCAGCAACTTGGGAACAGCAAACAAAAGTTTCAAAGAGAGAGGAATGTTGATTGCTCTGGCGCCGCCATTCGGTAGCAGCCGTGCCTGCATGAAGCTTGGGGCATGCTTTGTATCATAGCCAGCATGCCCTAGCCTCAAGTCTTGGGTATCATTTCACATAAACCTATGTCCCAAATCCGTGCGCCACGGTGCATGCGTCAGTTCGGCCCTCGACTTCTCGCACTACCCGTACACATTTTGCGAATAACCCGGCCTTTCCACAACACCATGTCCGCGCGGAAACGCAGGGGATGCGACTGCAGACGCCTAATTGGTGAGATTATCCAAAGCACACCGTGGCCCTCCTGTCTTGGCTCTAATTTGGACCCCCTAAAAGCTCCAGGTTCAAACTAACTTTGGGTTCTAGTACGTGCGCGTCGTTCCTACGCCACAACGTTGAACTTCCTAATCTCAGATCTCGCACGGTCGTCGCCTCAATCTCTACGTGACACGTGCTGTTCGTCTTTACTTTTCCCCGGCTGACGTCTTCCACCTTCCAGCTCACGCCGGGGCCTCCTCGCTAAAAGTGGACCTCCCGCCTCCGCTGCTTGAAACCATGGCAGAAGACGTCGACCGGTGGTAGTACAACAAACGTCGCTGACACTGTGACACGACAGTAAAGCTTACACTAGCCGCTTCCCCTACCGAGCACGGCCGCCGAGCGACTCTGAGCGCCTCGCGATCGACCTCAACACCATGACATGACTAAGGACTCAGCTGTTAGCCACAGCTATTTCCAGACAATGCCCATTTTGGCACCTAGTTGTAAGTGTGCTATAGGGGGCGCATATAGCTCTACACAGCCACATACTGTATAAGCCATCCATACAATGACTACCGGAGACATCCCCCCGGGAACCAGCCGGCGCATAGACCTCCAGCACTTTTCCACATCACAAATCAATACTTCTAAACAGTCGCTCCATAATTATATCACTACCTTCCGTCTGTCTACCACAGCTTTCCAGGACAATACGAGAACAGCGCAAACATGCTCTTCAAGCAACTTCTGCACTATCCATACAGCGACGTCGTGGATCATCCTAGTTTCGCATCTCGCTCGCACTTGCGCACCGTTGCGGCCCGTTGCGTGTCTACCTTCTCAAAACTGCTCATCTGCAGCACGAGAGCAGATTCTTGGCACTTGCTTGTGTATACTTTACACCCTTATGGTTTCTAGCCGAAGGCCCCGTTCTTTATACATCATGACAGTCGACAACTTGACATATGTTACAGCGTCGATCCCCCAATTTTTGTACCATCTTCCTTCGCCCGCCTCACCCCACATTTTGCTCAACCATCTTCCACTCTTGAGTCAGTCAACATGAACATGTCAAATCCATCACCGACTCCAAGTAGCCAAACACAGCCCATGTCATTCATGAGACCCCAAGCTTCCATGTCAGCAATAGGCATGTCCGGCATGGCATCCACCTTTTCAACCGGTACTCAAGTTACGCTCTGGTTCACAGGTTGGACAACGACAACGACGGCGACCTATGTATCGGCCGTCTTCCTCTTATTTCTTTTAGGTATCTTCAACCGCTTCCTTGGGGCGTTGAAGAGCCAGCTCGAGAGAAAATGGAAGATGCAGCGTGGGACTAAGACTGCCATTCCATCCAGTGTCTATACAAAGAAGACGGCTGACAGCAGTCGTGGCCATACGCGAACATGGAGCGATGTCCTGCGAGCCCAGCACCGTGAACTGAAAGAGCTAGAAAAGGAAGAGATTGAGCCCTTGACTCCAGTTACAGCACATACGCGGGAAGACGAGGAGAGTGGCACAAATGCGAAATCAGACACATCTCGTATATTTTGGCTAGCCCATGCCCCATGGAGTATCGACAGAGATGGCATCAGTGCGGGTTTAGAGTTTGTTCGCGCGTTGATCGGTTACGTACTGTAGGTACCATATCGTCATCGCACTTTTCCGGATTTGCAGCTAACCACTTGATAGCATGCTCGCTGTCATGACATACAATATCGGCTTCCTGTTCTCTGTCACAGGCAGTGTGCTCCTTGGCGAGTTGTTGTTTGGTCGGTATACACGAGGATCTGCGACCCTGGCTGAAGACGGTTGCCATCCTTGATAGATATTCATATCTGAGTAGCATCAAACTATGACTTGCCGACAGTCTCGCTTATTATTTCATGTATTCTCCCTATCTGGCGTCTTTGTCAGACTCTCGCTTTACAATATTCTATATGAGGCTATAAGGTTTGTGACATACTAGCGCGTCCAGTTAGTGGTAGCATTACAAAGTCATCTATGCTAACCGTTGTTGAACAAGCCAATGTTACCATGTCGGTCGTCAAGGAAGAACACCGTGCAACACAGGGAAGATCCCCGTCACGGCCCAGGCACGGTCGTTCTCTCCTTACCTCGTACACGGCAACACAGGCTCGGTACAGCCTTTACTTGACCTCAAAAAGACAGAAATAGACCAGTCCAACGGAGCCAATGCAGAAGGCAAAGTACATGCCGGTGAGTATTATCTTATCCTTGACGCCAGTGGGAAGAACGCTCTGCAATGCAGTTGTGTAGAAGCCAGCATCGGCCCGAAGACTCAGGAGGTTATCTACAATGAATCGAATCACGATCAAGTTTACGTTGAACGTGTACTCCAAAGTTAGTGCGATCGAGTTCTGGAATTCAATAGGCGGTGCGATGACTCCGGTGTCTCAATCTTAAATTGTGCTAATAAAAGCTTTCGGCGACGTGTAACGGTCCGCAAGCATCTCGGCACAAAATGCCGTTGATCGTCCTGTCAGGAAGATGAAAGCCGGTAAAGCTATGGGCATGCGAAAAAAGACGACGAAAGTCGTTGTCAACGGTTACGAAATGGAGAAGATGGCGAAGTTGTATAAATGAAGCTACGCGCCAAACTATCGATCAAAGTATCCTTGTCAACCCAATGGCGTCTTTGTCCGACGAACTCAACTAGAGATACATGGACGTGTGGATTACACGTCTTACAGCATCAAACACCAACCATCCATCGCCCCAGCAAAAAACTTTCAAGCACCCCCGCCCGTTTAGCATACGCCATCCCAACGCTCGTTACGAGACCGAGTGCTGTCACGACAGAGGTTTCCCACCAACGCTAAAGAGCCAACCGGAACTTAATTCTCGTGTCCGGGAAGTTCGTGTCAGGGGCATGGACTGTGGTGCGCCGGCTTACCGTAGCATTGCACACTCGTAAGGTGGAGGTGGCGCTTTTGATATATGAAGGTCACTCTTCAGTGGAATGATTAGAGAAGAGCTGTGAATTGAAGTGTGAGACTGGGTGATGTAACGTTTACTGGAAACATGCCCCTTTTACCAAGGTCAACGGTACCTGAACGCTTTTTAGAGCATTAGGGAGAGGTGAGCAAGCGTCTAGCACGTGAATCTGAGTATTCAAGTAAACCACAGAAGGTAACAAGATTTGTTCGTCGTCAAACAATACAACAATACATCTTCCAAATACTACCAAACGTCCAGACCAAAGAAGCAGGAAACATCCACAAAACACATACATCAACCCCATAAATTTCATACCCCACCATGAAGAGACCGTCCATCCCCAGCAACAGCCGCACCACGCACCCCATCCCGATACTCACTCCACTCCACCGGCACACTCTCCTCACCCCCACCAAACATATCCACACGACACCGTCTCGGCCCCTCACCAGAACCGCCAACAACACCAGCGCCCACACCCACACCTTCCCAGCTCAACCCCCCACCCCCACCCACCTTGACCTCCTCGCGAATCGCCTGCGGCGGAATCCTATACATGACCAAATACTCGCCCCAATGCAACCACTCGTCCGTACCGCCCATACCCTCCTTCAACAAATCTTTCGCACGAAACACTGGGCCTCGAGCTAAATGTCTCGTATCGACTGTGACGACGCATGTGTCCTCGCCATAGCTACGGGCAAAGTAATTCGCCACGGCGTCGGCGTGGGCGCGGTTGTCATAGACGCTGATGAAGGGGGAGGAGATGTTTGTTTGCTGGTTGAGGTGTGCGAGGCTGAAGCGGGAGAGGCAGGACGTGTGGTTTAGGATTGTGGTGTGGTTTTTTGCGCTGAAGCCTGTGGTGGGCGTGTACCGGGTTTGACTGCTGGGACGGTGGACGCGGTAGACTAGGGCGGGGATGCTGGTTGGAGAGGGTGAGGGGGGTGGAGAGAGGCTTGCTGTGGAGAGGGCTGGGTATGTTAGTTGGGGGATGGGGGTAGGAGGGGAAGATAATTTACCGGATGTGCTTGAGGAGAGGGTGTCTGGCATGATTGATGATGGATTGAGAAGTGATGTGATGTGGATTCTGTGAAGAGCTACTGGAATATTGTGATGAGGGCCTTGGGTTGATATGTAGGAAGTCAATGATAGTCAGTGTCTAGAAAAGAGTGTGATTCTCGTAGTGAATGGAGATGGCCTACGCCCTTCTGCGTCTGATATGTCTCCATACCCGCCCTATATATCCATACTTCCTCTCCTCCCCAACAATTTCATTGTCTCAGGCTCCAGGCACCTGAATCAGGGGGAGCTCGCTGGCACTGTTGGCATCCTCTTCCTTATTCGGATATGCACATAGTTTCGTCTGCTCGAGTGTTGACTTGCCGAAACCTCAGCAATGAGATCGAGCTTTGTTGGTGCTGATAGCCTCCCGTTGGATATATCCAGGATCTTGGCTAAGTGCAGGTCAAAGAAAATGCTGTTGTTGGGATCCTCGTTTGGCCGGCGGGGACCGGGGAGCGACATCCGATACAGCCGCTCGGGACGCGTACTTATAATTGTTGCTGTCTCCACTGATACAGCATGGTCTTTAAGAAGCTAACTCGCTACGTGGAGGAGCTGTATGTATCCGTGAGTTGAACGTGGCGATACTGAGGTCTGTGTCGGACTATGAAGCTTTCACGGCAATGTACGGAGAGTGGGAATCGTGGAACAATGATGTAACAACGAAGTTCCACTAAAAATAGTGTATTTGAAAAGCAGACTGTAGGAAGTGAAGAGTGACGAGTTAATGAGAAACGATGAGATCAAAGACACGACAAAACGAATCGTCACTTTATGCAGTCGCTTCCCACTCCATTGAGCCACTGAGTCGGGTCAGCATCGATAATCAAACAAGATAGCCAGCTTATTCCAGACACTAGAAGAACGCCAAAGCACGTTTCCGCTGTGTCATTTCGTGGCAATTCAAGATACCAACGTAGCACAAAACAAACGGACTGATACGCCAAGGGGCAACACATAGTTACCTCCCCGCGCCACACCCGTCCTACCGGCGACAAATCCCAAGAAACAGAATCAAACGTCCATTGCCTCCCGAGTAAACCCAGCCAGCACGCATGCACCTCAGACATACAGCGGAAGCGGGCCTTTGCATTTGGTCTCCTCACCTAGAAAAGGCAGCATACATCAAACCTGCCAACGAACGACACGTCCTTCACACCGCTACTTCTCTCCTGCAGCTACCCACGGAAGAAGTTCAGACAAGACAATCGGTATATGAGAGAGAGAGAGAGAGGAAGAGCAGATAGTCCCGCACACATGGGTCGGCTCAAGTTCCGCGCCGCGCTAAACCCTGTTAGGAAACGCCTGCAGCTCTCCAGAATCGCGAATGTCGAAAAGTTGGCCGACGAACGAACGACAACAGCGAGCGCGAGCGCGAAAACAAACGAGCGCAAGACGGGATACCATACCAATTGCAACAAACAAACAGTAAACACCCTAATTCCCAACACCACTACCTGCACACCCCGCTAATCCACAACCTAGTTCCTCCCCTCACGCATACCAAACCTCCCACCCATCCCACTACCTCTCCCGTCCCTCCACACGCCATACAGCCCAACATGCCATACTTCCGCATAACCCTCATGCGCTCGGGAATCGGCATGCCGCAAAAAACCCAAGGCGTACTGCACGCGCTCGGCCTACGCAAACGAATGACTACAGTCTACCACCCGGTGTCGCAATCCGTGGCTGGGCAAATCATGCGCATCAAGGAATTGGTGGATGTGAAAGAGGTCGAGTACCCCAAGACCAAGGAGCAGATGCGTAAGGAGAGGCGGCCGGAGAAGGGGTATTATGTTGAGATGAGGGCGGGGGAGGCGATGGGTGTGTTGGAGTAGGTGGGGTAGGAGGGGGGAAGGAGAGAGGATGGGAGAGGATGGGAGATGGGGTGGAAGAGGGGAGGATGGGGATAAGTAGGATGAGGTGTGAAGTTTTAGTTTTTTTCTTCACAGGAAAGATATTCAGAGAGGGCGATATCGGAATCAAATGTAAATCAAATGCAAGAATAGTGTATACACAAAACTACTTGATAAGAACTACAAAAGCTACATTGCTACATTCTCAAACAAAAACGCCTCATGCATATACGACCCTTCCCGAAGTCCTCAACCAAAAAGACAGGATACTACATTCTTCTATACATCACGCAAGGTTAAGCAACTCAGCAAAGTTCCGGTGCTTAGTCGAACGGATACAAACCTACCAGCACGACTTTTAAAGCACAGACTTACCTGTAATATATACAACTACACATCACAAGCCTACGGTATCAAGGTACTTACCCTCGTGGCACCATCTGGTGCTTACAACTAAATCAAGTCGGGCGTCGTCAAATCCTGTCGTCAGCATCAAACCCAATCAACAAATCATCATACCAGCCCTCACGTACTGACGCGAATCGCGGGACGCATCTCTCTATTTTCAAACTTGCATTAATGATACAATCTCTAACATACAGAGCTTTCAGGAGCTGTTACTAACCTTTTGCGTGATCCCTAAGATATACGTCTTGAAAACAACCCCCTGACCGCCGTAGGAATCGGCGTGAGAGAGTCGGTGATGATTCCGGTCCATGAACAGCCAACGAGAACGCAGAGAGCCAATTCTGGTTTACTTTACTGCAGTCTCACACCCGCCGTACCCTTCTTCTTGGCCTGGTCGTCAAACGCATTGCCCAGTCCACCGCCGCCACTACGACTAGCCTCGAGCGAACTCTCAGCCATCTTCTTCTTCTCAGCAGCAACCTTGTCGAGATGTTTCTTCGTCTTTGTGTTTCCACTGCCCTTGCCGTGGAACTGGTGACTGAGCTGCTTGAAGGCTTCTTTCTGGTTCATCTGGCGGCCGTGCTCGTCGACGTACTTGAGCTCAACGTTGGGTGTGTACTCCTTGTTAAAGAGATCGGCGAGGCGACGGCTCTCTACCATGTCCGCACTGGTGTTGTTCTTGCGGGCCCATTCCTCGCGTTCGCGGGGGGTCATGTTGTTCCAGCGGGCAGAGCCTCGTTCGCGCTCACGAGCAATCTTGCGTTGGCGTTCGGCTTCCGCTTCAGCCTTGAGCTTGTCGGCAAGGAACTTTTGGCGTTCGCGGTAGAGGGTGTTCTTGTCGCTGGCGTCGGACTCCTTGACTAGGCCTCGTTGCTTGAGTAGGGCGAGTGTGGCACCCATACCCTGGTCAATAGTCTTCTCAGCCTCGAGACCAGTCTCGGTAATATCAGCAGAGCGAGCCCGAGATACGCTGCGGTTCCGAGTTTCCTCTGCCTCGGCTGCTTCAGCATAGGATTGGCCCATGTCCACATCACCATCTTCATCAGCGACTCCGATATCACCCATCGACTTGGTTCCCTCGGAGATATGGCTGGACTTCCTACGTTTTCGACGAGCTTCGTCTTCGTCGTCTCCACCAGCACCCAAATTCTGTACGAACTCGGTGGTTTCGTCGATGACCAGACCAGCTTCACCGTCTTCGGTAGAATCGAGCACGTCTGGCTGAGGTGTCGTTGCCTCCTCACGTAGTTGCCGTGCCAAGTCCTCGGGTCGTATCTTCTTGCGCTTCTTGAGGGCTTTCTGACGCTGAGCTGCGAGATTTGCCTGAAGATCATCATCGTCTACGAACGACTCGTCAAAGACCTTTTTCTTCTTCTGCTGTGGTGCAGCGGCTTCACCACCATCAACATCCATGCCATCAACTGCAGTTTCCTCGGCAGGGGCCATGGACCAATCTTCTTCATCTGCAATGTGTTCTCGCTTGGACTTCTTGCTCTTCTTCTTTTTAGGCTTCTTCATCTTGACTTCTGAAACATCCATGTAGTCGCTGGCGGGCGCGTCTTCCTTGAGTATATCCAAGCTGATAGCCACCTTCTTTGGCCTTGTCGCACCTGCAACTTCTGCTTGCATGTCTTCGACTGTACGCCCCTTACCGTCCAGTGTGAACGCCTTGCCCTTCTTGCCTTCAATCTCCTCGTCGTATTGCCCGAGGATCGACTTCTGGCCACCCTCGTCCATGTCATTGGGATCGTACGCACGCTTTCGCTTCTTGGAATCGAGCCGGTCCTGCAGTCGCTCCTTCTCCCTCAGCGCAACCGCCTCCAGCTCGTCTTCGTCTTCGGCATCAACTGCAGTGTCTTTGAGAACAAGAATCTGGTCTTCGTCGTCAAATTGGTCAAGCTCGTGTCCAACTTTGACACCCGCCAGGTCCTTGTCGGTATATTGCATAGCCTCAAGCGCCTGACGCTCACGCTCTTCAAGCTCCTTGCGCATCTGCTCTTCTTTGGCGATCTTCTTCTGACGCTTCTTGCTGCTCTTCAACCATGCCATATCATCGTCGACATCTTCTTCATCAGCAAGCCCCTTGCCCTCGAGCTTTGCAAAACGCGACGCCTTCTCGCGCTCCTTCTTGATCTTAGCAGCACGCTCTTCACGCCTGAGCTTGGCCAGTCTCTCATCCTCCAACTTCCTCCAGTTGTCCGAGGCGGCCGCCTCGCGCGAGTCGATAGTGCTTGCGGGCTCTGCATCGGGATCGTCGTCAACGTGAGCGGGTTTGAAGTCGAGACCTGAGGGTGCTGCGGGCGCTGCAGATGCACTTCCACCGGGAAGAGCAGACATGCCCATAGACAGGCGAATCTTGTTCGCCTCATCGATAGATAGTTTGTCCCCCATGGCGGATGTGGTCGCGTAGTTCAAAGTTGGATCTGTGAATAAATTGCAGTGGGAAAACCGGAATCGCGACTCAGCGGTGTCGTCGTACCGGAAGTAAGTACTTGAAAAAGTAATGCCAATGTTCTGGCAAGTATCAGCTGCCCAGAGAAGTGAATGCGCCGTGCCGATACAGAGGGTAAAGTTGAATGTATCGTTCGTCGTCTGCCCGTAACCTGCGGGCAACATCGCACCTCCGACCCGCCAAGGCACTAACTCACTAGCGTTCCGAGGATCAACCGGGGCGCATAAAAAAAGTTGCGCGCGCCCTTCTATCGTTTCTCACCATCACGACCTGTGTCAGCATCTCCCGGCCACGTTCTTCGGGGCGTGTGACGGTTGAGATACTGACAGTTCGTCCATCATGGAGCTTTCTTACTCTCAATAGAGTGTTTCGGACGACAGGTGCGAAGAACAACTTTGGCATCTTCCGGCAGCCTGAGCTCACCGCAAGGTTTGAGCTCGGTGTATGGTTGTTTGTCAGGCAGACTGATTCCTGATCCCTTTTGCTAGGCCGTTGGCCTTTGATGCTTGGGACTAACCCAGTCAGCTACATATCATTTTTGATGAATAGCTTTATGTGCTTGCGCGAGTTCTTGATGCCGCGTCAAGAGCGGCTGTGAGACCTGACGAATTTGCGCATCTGCCCTGCTTCAGATATCAGACCATTACAACATCTCGAGCAATGGCGTCATGCGGCGTGCAATGCGCTTATATTCAAGTGATCCGCGTCAAGGAACTGTAAGATGCAACTTGCTGTCCTATACCACTCCAGGTCACATGTTTTCGTGTGTATCGTATGCATGTCTCATAGAATGTATATATAATACAGTATTCCAGCTTCAAGAACGGCAAAGTGCGGTCCAAACGCTATGCAAGTATTTGCTGATTGCTCCATATGCATTCCTTTCGTCCCATATGCCCCAACCTTTGAGATGTCAATCCACTCAATTCTGAGATGGAATCTCTCCCCTTGCCAACTTGAGCAGTTCAGCCTCCCTCCGCTCCTTGGCCAACGTATCCGCCATCAGGATCCTATCCGCCTCCGCTCTCTCCCTAGCCTCCTCTAGCTCTTGCATCCTTGCCTTCTCCTCCTCCGTCGGCTGGACTTCTTCCACACCTCCTAGCTTCTCCATCAATGCAGCTATAATTTCGCTGTCCGTCTGATCTCTCATGTTGATCGTAAATGCGGGTTTTGAGCTGTCGGGAACGAGGGTATTGCGCGCGTTCGGTGTGCCTGACGGCGGCGTCGAGTCGGATTGTTGGGCTGTGGGCGAATTTGTGGTACCAGTAGCAGGCTGTGTTTTGTCGCCCATGTAAACGCTGAGGAGTGAAGGACCATCCGCGTCGCTGTGTCTTGAGACTTCCATCGGAATCGAGGGGTTGTGATACTTCATTTTGGGGAGCATGTTGCGCCAGAATTTTCTATTGGTGGTGTGAGCATGCGATCGTGTCCCTAAGCCATGGCTTCCAATCCCCCGTCTCTAGGTCTTGTAGAAGACGTTCAATTCCTTCCGTGCTGTCTGAGCTATGCGACTGCAGGCGTACCTTGCTCCATGGTGTCCTCCGTAGATCTTTGTGCTCATTTCCATGCTAATCTTCGACACCTCTTTGGGTAATACGATTGCGCCTGGTCCAAATCTTATCCATAGTAACTGCGGGCGCTGCCGTCAGCAATCCCTCTGGTACTTCAAAAATCCGGCTCAATCGTGTATTGCAAGCGGCGCATTCGGAGGTGCCTGCGATGGGATTGAACATACCTTCTGCGGTATTCATTAGCCTGGTGCAATTGCATACATGCACTTCCAGATTGCAATTACATACCCTGTGCAATTTGGTCATGCGCTTTAGTGGGTGCACCATGGCTGCTGTGATATGAGTGCTGAATTTGGGTTGCGGAGTTCAAGAGATTCTTAGCGCAGTCACTTCGTAGGTAGCGCGGCTTCATCTTGGCACATTGTGCGGGACATTTGAGCACTCAATATCACCATCTCAAACATGAAAGATAGACATGTTCATGATTAAATGCATCGAATTTTCTTAACGCCTTTCTAGGTATCTGAGTTACAAAAATCCACAGAACATCCCCAGACATATGCTCTACACCTCTCTTCCAGACAGGCATAGACCTTGACAGAACAAGTCCAATTACAACATGGTGTATATCATAACGGCTCTAAAACCGGTTTATATCATTGCAAGTAGGCATTTCATCCTTCTGACAGCATTCGAAGCCCGTATAGAGCGAACTCGCGTTGATTTACTGGGCTGGGCGTGCGCCTGCGCGTACCTCGGCAGGGGTAGGGCCGGACATGCGCTTGCTCCTACAACAATGTTAGAGTGGGTGGAGAACGGCATGGCGATTGTGCTTACATGAACGATCTGCTGAGGAAAGAAATGACGATCATTGGCATCCACGAGGGCATCTTGGCGAACCAAAACGTGGCATGACCGTAAGGAACAGCCAGGTTGTACTGCTGTAGTGTGCCGTTGAAGGGATGGAAGTGACCAGTGTATGGCTCAACCTTCTCGATCTCGTTGTCGATGATGAGCTTCTTGATTGTCTCGGCCGTGGTAGCAGTGCGGTTCAATGGCAGGTAGCGAGCGGTGGGTACGGGCGCAGACTGGTCAGCCAAGGGCTTGGGAATCTGGAAGTAGTACAGCGATGGCGCGCCGACAGACCACGAGTTGCAAAGGACACCTTCGGTTTCGCAGTCAAGGTACGCGAACTTGGGCGCGTCGGGCATGGCGGCGATGAAGGGAAGAGATGCCTGGGTCAATGTTAACGCACGCGCTGGACTGTATCAATGCTATACGTACGTTCCACGCTTTGGTCACGTTTCCGCAGAGGCCAAAGCATGTGTTGTTGCCACCAGTGGTGAAAACAAGCCAATCCTGAGTCGCGGGAGGGCTGGTCGTGGCATCAACCGTCATGACCTCCTTCCAGTTCTCCAGAGTAATCGGATATTGGATTACTTCGGCAACTTTCTCTGCCACCTTGCTGGTCGCTGTGTCGACCGGCGCCGATGGCATCGACGAGATGGATGCCGACACGGCCGCGGTTGCCTTGTTGAAGAAGCCCTTCACCTTGTCGAGGATGGGGATCTGCTCCTCAGCGACAGCAAGCGCCGGGAGGGTAAGGACGAGACCTGATGAGAATCGCATTTTGGGCGTGTATGAAAAGATATGGTGGTGGACGTGCAATCGTTGGTGGGTTGGTGCGCTTACGCTCTTATGCCTGATGATGCCACAGGGTCCAATTGGAGATGGGCAGAGGTAATGTGGGGGAACGGCAGAGGCAAACCACCAAGATAGCGCACAAAGGAGTGATAGGAAGGAGGATGTTTACCCACGAGAAAGAAACGGGGAGCGTGCGATGAACCCTGATCCAAGACTTGTTAATAATACGAAGAATAGGAGATGAAATGAGAGCTAAAGCATGGGGTCACCTTGCTGAGTACACGGGCGTAATTTCTGAAGCATGGACCAGCAAGCCTCCACCCGTTCGTGAGTTCCGAATCAACCGGACGCACAAGATCGATTTACACGCCTACGGATAGGCTAATGTTTACAGCGCCCTTTGAAGCGGGTCTATGAACCACAAGTCGAGACCCGATTTCCAGTGCTTCGACACGTGATTGTGCGAACAGTGCAAACCTCATTCCATACCAATCTCAGCATCCTCCATCCCCTGTCGTGTCATTTCCAAGCCATCGAAGCTCCAATCAGGACGCGCAATATGGGCAGCCAGTGTAAAGAGGAGGTTCTCGCCGCTCTCAGACGTTGAGAGTTGTCGAACAGGAGTACCTATTAGCATATTCAATCTACGCACACCGAAGCACAAACTTGATCAACATACTTTGGTCATGCAGATGCCGTGACACGTTTACCATCATGGAGGTCCTAGAGTCCGATGTCAGCGAGCTATCGAAAGAGTCACGTCCAAGTTCCGTCGCACATTCATGCTCGGTTACTTGTCTCGAGCTCCGTCTTTTGAGCGCTTTCATCAGGTCTTCTTGGAATGCTTGGTTGGGGTCCGGTGGTGCGTCTGCTTTTGTTTTTGCAGGGCCAGCCGTACTACCCTCTGCGAGTTGAGCGCGTTCTCGTTCTTCGACATCTCGACTGTGTGGCGTTTCGTCGTATACTACTCTTTCTCCGCTGGGGTTCTCACTAGTATCTTTCTTTTTGGAGTTAGTTACTTTGCGTAGCTTGAAACCTCCCTTGATATCACTGAGCAAAGCAACCATGGACACGTGTGTGGGGGGTGGTAGGGGACGATTACCTGGAGGAGGCGATGGAGGAGAAGGAGCTTGCGACATGATCGGAGACGGAGCCCGAGATGTGTCTATTGTTTCCACCAACGAAGCTGTATTGGGATCCAGCGGTTCGATAGGCGACTGACATCTATTCAGTTCAAGTGAGTGTACTGATGGTGAAAGTTCACGTGGTGTATCAGGACGCGCAGGTTCGACAGGAGCCTGCCGTTCATCCAAACTAACTGGACGTGTCGATGGTGATATCTCACGAGGTGGAGGCCCAACAGGACTCTCACCTCTGTCCGAGTTACCAGAAAGTGCCGAGGTTGAAACCTCGCGAGGCGGAGGTTCAACAAAACCCTCGCCTCCATCCAAACTATCTGAACGTGCCGAAGGTGAAGAATTAACAAAACCCTCACCTCCACCCAGTCCAATCGACCGGGCCGAAGGTGAACGCTCAACATGAACAGGAACCGGTTTCCTTCTCGGTCTCTCAGTGTTCATAGGCGCTTGAACACGTACCTCAGGAATAGGAGTACCTCTATCCCTCGGGTCCCCCATTTCCCGCTTATCCACTTCCCGTCGTTCTTTCTCTCGATCTGCAGGTCTTTTCAACTTCTCTGGTCGTCTCTGCTCACTCCTACTCCTCTCCAACCGCCTTCCTCCATCTTTATTTGTAGCTCCCCTCTCCCTCTTCCGCCCCCTGACCTCATCCATCCTCTTCTCCACAAAACTTCTCGTTCGATGTCCCGCCTCATGCTCCGCCTTGATATGCCTATACGTTCTCAAAACATGAGCGCCAAAACCCAGTGCCAAACCGGCCTTGGTTTTGTACTTTGGCAAACTGCCAAAGAGCGTGCCATCTGGGCCTCTGGGCAGTCGCTGTGTTGGCGAGTTTGAGGCGCCTACTCGGCCAGCTTGTGGGTCTGAGGGGTGCCCATGAGATTGGCGTTGGTGACGATGACGGTGCTTTGGACGGTCTTCTGAGGTATGACGACGATGACGATGACGGGATGGGTGCGGTGGCACTGCTTTTTTACTTTTGTCTTGTGGATCATGTTCACGCCTTCGAGAGTGAGACCGCTCGTGAGCAGGTTTCCGTGCTGAACGATAAGGCGTTGGAGCTCTCCTGCCTGAAGCCACACTTCCGCGAGACCGTGATCTTGATCGTGGTGGTAGCTCCAAGTCCCGCCACGACGTCTGATACCCACTGCCACCGCTCACTGGCCGATCTGTAGGTGGGTGCAGTGTGTGTGCCGGTCCTGCACCACCTGTCATTTCATACTGAGCGTCGTCATCGAATGGGTTTGAGGGATTCGTATCGTGCACCTGTTGGGGGTGGCTCTTGTCTCGAGATCTGGATTGGGATCTATTACGGAGTCTGCTGTGGGATTCATCTCCTCGTTGCTCATCGTGAGGTTGAGAAGTACGTCGGTGGCGGTCTTCACGGTGATGTCTCCTATGCCGAGATCGAGAGTCATGCCTGTGTTCAAGTCTCTCTCTTGATCCGTGCCTATGTCCATGTCCGTGTCCATGACCCCTCCTCTCTTTCTCCCTACCCCTCTCGCTCTTCTCCTTATTCTTATCCATCTTCCCACTCTTCCTCTTCCTATGCCTGTTCCCCTTTTCTTTCTTCCCCTTCTCCTCCCTCTTCTGCTCCTCCTTGTACCCCCGGTACAACTTCACGCCTTCAATCACACCTTCAATAACCAATCTCCCTGCGCTTTTTTCCTTTCGCTGAGAAATGAGTGTCTGGACTTTTTCTTGCACTTCTTTGCGGAAGGCTTCGTCGTCTGGCATGGGGACTGTGATGGTGGCTGTGGTAAAGAGGAGATGGAGACATGCTGTGGATGTTCAGGGGCAGTAAGTAGGAGAGGTGTGAAGAGGGGATGAGGCACTGGAGTTTGTGAAGGGGTCAAGCAAGCAGAGTTTGTTGGTGGTCAGGCGGTCGGTGGGTGAGTTGTTTGGTGGTTAGATGGGGACAAACAGTGGATATGTGAAGAGTGTGCGTTGGCTTATTGAGCTCTTGGTAGCAAATCGAATACGGCACAAATTCCGTAAATCCATATGCAGACATTTTTGGTTTAAAATAGTATAATTCTATACTTTGGTAATCTCATCCCATCCCATCAAGATCCCGCATCTACCATATTACTGCCAAAATCTCAAATTCCTTATCCCCTCCATCCCCTTCAATCCCCACCACCACCACTCTCCCGCCTCAACCCCTCAAAAAACTTCCTAACCCCATCCTCAGCCTCCTCCCCATCTCCCAAATCATCAAAAACAACAGGTATATGCTCCAGATTATCAACACCGTCCACGCTCACACCAGCCGGTAGAACAGGCCCTGGAGCCATTATGAACGGGAAAAGGGCTGCGGCGTCGGAGTCCACCCCTGGCGACGAAGAGGATGATGACGATGGGGGCGGAAGAAGAAAAGGAAACACACCATCTGTCCATGTATCTTTCGGTACAGTGGTTGGCGGGGCGTTTGTCGTGTTAGTGGTCTTGTTGGCATGTGTCACCGTGATATCCCCCGCCGCCATCGTCGTCGTCGTCGTCGTCGTCGCATTCGCAGACTGCTGTCCGCCAACGCCAGCCAAACCCGATTGACCCTTCACATCCTCACCCTCCCCTCCAGCTTCAGCTCCAATTCTCGAACTGTTTGTCTTCAGCCCCGGGTACAAACTCCCCCAATCAAACAGAATCTCAGTCTGCTGTCCCATGGGTTTGCTTTGTCGTCGCTGTCGCAGAGTAGCAACGTTTTTAGCATCGAATCGCGCAGCCGTGTTCTGCGTGTATGATTTCATGGCATCGACTTGGGCTTTTAGCTCGTCAAGCCAGTGTTTGAGTGCTTGGTTGTTAGGGCCTGGTGTATCGGACATTTCTCCGTGAGATGGTATGGAAGGGGATGAGCGTTTGGTGTATTGTTTTTCTGTTGTGAATACCGCGCCACTGGATTCTCGATCGCTGTCGTTCGCATCGGTAGTAGTAGTTGTACTGCTGGTGTCGTAATAACCTCCAGGTGGCGCCTGGTCTAGATAACTACTGGTGAATTTCACGAGCGTGAATAGCGAATTACTCAGACTATTGAGTCTTTGGAGGAAAGCGGCGAAACTGGCGTCGATACTTTGTGGTGATGATGCTGCTACACTGTTGTTTTCGTCTGTCGTTGTGCTCGTGTCGCTTTCTGTTGTAGCTTGTGTGCTGCTACTGGTATCTTGGGTATCGTTTTCTTCTGGATTGATGGATTGGTACGAGAACCAGCGTTTTTGACGGCGTGTGCGTGGGAGTGTATGGGCGGATATTGCAGCATCTTTTTTGGCATCAGCTTCCATGGTACATGCTGCTCGTTGTTTGTTGGGTGTTTTGGTTCCGTATAGACGTGCTAAATAGGCGTTCAACTCTTTTTGCACTTGTGCATTAGGCTGTTTATTGCCTTGTTGGACATCAACGGCTTGGAGGTTATTTTGCTGGAGAGCCAGTGATGGACTAGGAGTTTTCTGGCCGGTCGTACTTGCATGCATAACGGGGTTGTACTTGCCATCGTTAGCGGCTACTATGCTGCTGGATGCAGTTGAAGACTGTTGCTGCGTCGAGTCTCCGCCATGCCATTGTCCATCATCTCCACCTGTGCTGGAAACCGAGCTGCTAGGGGGTGATGGTGATGACGCGGAATCAGAAGAGGTACCAGCACTAGTATGTCCTTTGTCGGTGCACGCGTTTCGTTGGAAAGTCGGCTTGGATGCTGCCCCTACGTTGTCTCCGAATTGAACTGCGCGGCCTGGATCGCCAAAGACAACATCGTGTGTCTCTGGTGCCACGCAAGTGTTGATACCAGCCAAGTTTGCGACAAAGAGATCGGAATAGGAAGCAAGCGCTGCCTGGGCCACAGCATTGACCTTCGCCGTATCGCGGACGGTCAGATGTTGTGAGGGACTCGGTTTGGAACTCGTAGTTCGCGTGCCCCGTGGGACGATGTTGACGACTATGTTGGTTAGAAATTTAAACTCGCATTGGCGACATAGGACGTCTTGCTTACCTGCACAGTTCATGTACATCTCCCTATTCCCAACTTTATTGAACCTGCTCACAATCAACACCATTTCATCCACTCCAAATCTCTCTACCTAACAGGTCCAAGCAAACAAACAAGTCGTCCTTCCTAATCTCCCAAGTTCTATAGGAACTGTGAAAGGGTACTGGGATTGCAACGGACAGCCCCCAATAATACTCTTAGCGACCTTGAAATTAACGCCTCCGTCACAATTAAAGCTAAGCTGGCAGCTGCCCCCGCCATGTGTTGCTCCGCCTATGATAGACATGTTGTATGTCCCACCTGCTTCGTAGGTAGCGACAGGCGTCCACGGTGTGTTCCATTGGTATCCTTTACAGGCAAAGTTACTCCCGTCGGCGTTGAGGGGATTGAGAATGTTGTAGTCTTTTGGTTCGTTTAATCGGTTGGCATGGGGATCGCGGAGAGGTGACGGATTGCTCATTTGCATGTGAGCGAGCGTGGTTGAGAGCAAAGAAAGCGCGCCGAGCGCTTGGAGGATAGAAAGGCGAGGCATTTTGCAGGAGGATTTCTCCGATTGTCCTCCAGGAACTACTCTTGCAAGTAGCTGAATAGACGGCGAGTTCGCATTAATCGAGCAGACGTGTTTTAACATATCCAAGTTGGTCGCGAGAAGCAAGGGAGTCGAGGTGGCCAGAAGAGAACAAACACGCGTCGAATTCCAATGTCCCGTGGAGACGTGTGCAACTCGATAGACAGAAGAAGATAGTCAACAGATTGGGGAACTGGATCTGTGGAGACGAATTGAGAATCATGCGAGATTGAACAGGATATGGGTAACAAGCAACCCGTACACGTGTACTAAAGATACCGTGCCGACTCTGCATATAATCCTCAAGATCATGAAGTGTCCATTAGAAGCGCGTCCCGTGAATCGATGAGCTTAGGAATGACTCTTCTCGTATCACCGAACATTCTACCCGTTCCACCCAGCCACATGATGCAAAAAAGCTTCGCATGTTGGCAAAGCTTGTCCCAGAACTCCATTGGAATGCCTGTATACATCCATCTAGTCCACCTTGGTTCCGTCGTTACACCTTCATTATTCCCTATCCCCCCCAGATACCCGGTTACCCCATATATGTGCCCTATTCTTTCTTCTTGACCTCCCCTTTGGTGACCTTGACGCCCTTGCCCCGGAAGTCATTCGCATTTGGGCCGTCGCTCTTGCCGAGACCCAGCTCTTCGGCCTCTCTTTCCAGCTGTTGTTTTTGCTTCTTAGCCGCGGCGTTGAGCAGGTATGGGCGGATGAGAAGGTAGGCGCCGATGATGGCGATGATGCGGACCCAGCGCTGGGCCGTCATTTCCTCCAAAGACTTGATTCCATTGTTGACGAAGCGGTTCTTCCACTCGACGACGTTCTCGATTACGTAGTCCATTCTGGAGGTGTGAAAGGTAGTTTGGGTGGAAGTTGAGGTGTGCTTTGCGACAAGAGGGTCGTTGCGCAGTGTAGATTGGGGTTTGCGCTCGTAGTGGTGTGGTTTTGGCGGTACAAGTGTGGATTAGAAAGTCTAAAATTTAATCTACAATGTTGCTTGTAGGGAGAATTCGGTCAGATTGCGACAACAGCAAAGGAAGTTATCGCGCGCAATAAATCACTCACAGCAAGCGTGGACCCAGCGAAGTCGCCGGGGTTGGCAGAACATTTGAGCCACCCGACTCATGGGCGGTGTCTTCCGAGGCCCCCACCATCGGCCCGCTTCCAGTCGCGTCACGTCTGGCACCGCAACAGCGCCTCGATCACTCACAACCAAGTTAATTGCAAACAAATGGCGTCGAATGATGCCGAAGTAGAGCGCGAGGAGGTTTGCAGGTCCTTTATAGAGTAATATCAAGGGTAAAACTGACAAACCCCAGCGTCTCAAATCCGCTCTCTGGTACTCCATCGGCCAATTCATCGACGAAAAGTCACTAGAAAACGACCTGAATGCTACCCCACAATACATCGGTGCCCTCACTGAGCTAGTCTATACTCAAATTGGTATATATCAGTCTCGAGTATTTGCCAAGAGTGGACTAACATGCTTATAGCAAACACCGCCCGGGACCTGGAAGTCTTCTCCAAACACGCCGGCCGCAAGACAATCAACCCAGATGACGTACTACTCCTCGGACGACGAAATGAGCAACTACAAGCTATGCTAGAGAAGGAGCTAGAGGACATCAGAGCAGCAGAGGGGAGAAAGGCAGATGGACAACCGGCCCCTACCCGTGCGCAACCAACTACAGCTGCGGCTGGGAAAAAGAGAGGCAGACCTGCTGGTGCGGGTAAGGGCAAGGCGAAAGCTTGAAGAGTATACATGTGTTTTAGCTTGGACTTATACTGGAGTATGGAGTTATGGTATGATACCCTTAAGTACGTTGAACACGGCTCACTTAGACAATTCATCAACATGTGAACATCACTGGAAACTCGATTCAAATTTATTTACAGAAACGAATAGTATATCTCCTTCTTCCTCTTTGTGTCTTCCACGCGAGAGAAGAAACAAGCCTCGCTTTTGTAACAATGCGTGTACCATATACACACGTCCATCAACAGCACATTGCACACTCATATCCCAGCCACGCTTCTTCAAGCAAGCAGAGACGTACCATATTACATCGCATCATGTATCACCCCCAGCGCCAGCACCAGTGTCAAAATCATATAAAACCCCATTACTACTCTACGCCACTCTACCCATCATCCCAATCCTTTCACGATAAACTTTCCTCCCCACGACAACACAAAATGCTGACACCCACCCCCCTGCTCCTACTTCTCCTTCCCACGCTCGCCCTATCCGCCTGCTGCTATCCAGATATCTACACCACCTGTGGCGACGGAACTCAAGGAACACCCCGTTGCGGGATCGGAAACTGCAATATCTTTGGTTGTGCGTGTGATGGTGGTAAGTTTCATTCGAACAGTCATCGGCAGGACTGATGGCTAGGTAATGGAGAGTCAATGAGAAGCCTTAGGTTGCCGACCGTATACGCTCGAGGGATGTATTGAGAGAAACGCAAATAGAACGTATGGGTTTTATGTGCTACAGAGGGCAGAGGAGGAGTGTAGGGGGGAGAGGAAGGATGCTGAGGTGAGTAGTATATGTCTATGGAGTCTGATCTCTATGTTTATGAGGACTAGAAGCTGACTAACGTCGTGGTTAGGCGAGACGTAAAAATGCGTTTGCTATTTTAGAAGAGGGTGTATAGGAGAGGAAAACACGTAAGAGTTTGTTTTCAGTATTGAATATTGGCCATTAATTATTACGTGTCATCGTCGTCTTAACTATAGTACAGTCTGCATCTCCTGTATTCAACTTTGTTTCCTCCCATTCGTCGTTGTCGTCCTCCCCCTTCCATATGGTATAATGCATCAAGGTCGTTATAAAAGTACAGGGTGAAAAGGAAAATTATGTGCCTCATGGCGTAATTGAGACTGGGTCAGACTAGTCCATCAGATCCAGTATCAACTGATTGGGAAGATATTGTTCGCTGAATGGTTTAGTAGTTTGTGGCGCTGCCATACTGGTTGGTGGTGCCGTTGGCTGCGTAGCCGGCACCAGGAGCAACGTGGGGAGCAGTGTGATAACCACCAGTGACGGGCTTGTTGCTGTCGTAGGCGTTGGGAGAAGCGACGGTGGAGCCAGTGTAGGCAGTATCGTGGCTGGGGCGGTAGTCGTGAGCGGCAGCAGGGGCGGCAAGACCTCCAGCAGTGGCAGTAGGGATGGTGCCAACCTCAGGGTCGCGGTGGCCAGTGGTCCTGGCGGCCTTCTTGCGCTGCCAGAACTTCATGCGGGAACCGGCAGTATAGCCGTTGCTGGGACCAGGACCAAAAGCCTTCTCCTTCTTGTGGTGGTGCATAAGAAGGTCCTGGACAAGGGCGCTGAGAAGGAAGAGGACGGCGCCGATGATAGCGACGGCCATGCAGGCGGTGTTGAGCTTGCAGATCGTACCAAGGGAGGCGGCGTAAGTGATTTGGTCGCCTTGGCCGTTGGAGCCAAAGCCCTGCTTGGAGCTTGCAGGGCCGTTACCAAGGGGAGTTTGGACGTTGCCCTTGCAGCTGGATGCACCGTCACGTGTTAGGACTGCGATGGCGATCATGGCGCCGCAGCAGAGAAGGTTGAAGAGTATGCCGAGGAAGGCGAAGATTTTCTGATTAATAAATTAGTATGATTTCTATCGAATGTGAAAGTTTTTGTTCTCACCTTTCCACCGAGGCAGCATGTCAATAGGACAGCGAAAATGGTGTACAAGACAACGGCACCGGATAGACCAGTGACGGCCTTTTGCCAGGTAGGAATGCGAGCATCGCGATCAGCCTCTACAGCGAGGAAGTAGCTGTAGATTCCCAATACAACCGCCGCGCAGGCAAACTCGAGCGCATACAGCGCAGTCGAGCCAAACTTGAGTGCAGCACCGCCGAAACCCATGGTCGCAAACACCAGCTCGAAGGTGGAGTGAAGTGAGGGAAAGAGGGCCAGATAGTTTTAGGTGAGAGGTTGACAGATCAGAAGATTGTGTGATGATGGGATGCAAGTAAAAGTTTGACGGACCATGGATTTATGTCGTCTCTCTTTGAACAATGCCAGGGCCGATGACGCAGCCTCACAGTCGACTTCACATCATGGCCGAGCGCTGTGACTGCCCTGTTCCGACACGTTTTCTGTCGATCCCCGTGCGTCAGCCACAACTAGCGCCGCGCCTCTAGCTCTGAACCCTGCTTCTTCCTCACGCCGCGGCCCAAAACAACGTCATAATTTGAGCCTTTCAACCAAACAGCGAACAACGTCAGTCCCCATCCATGACCGAAAGTTTCGCCGGAGCAGCAGCAACAAAAACTCAATTCCCACCAGCTTCCGGTACGACAGCGTGTCGTGATGCCGCCAAGCCTGGCACTTGGAGATGATCCTCCTGGACTGACTGGACCCAGGTGTTCGTTGGAAATTTGTTTTCTTTTTCAAATGCATGCCAAATACCGTTCATCTCATGACATAGTGATCCGGCTTGTCCGGAGCGCAGCCACAGTCTGACAGGCACGGCTACGGTGCGCGGCAGGGTATGATACAAACGGGTAATCCCTTGCATACCTTCAGGGCTTTGTTGAGACGACATGCGACCATCACATCTGAAGTCGGAGAAATATACAAGACAGGTCCATGGCTAGGCCCTTTCGTTGTCCTCCGATTCAAGTCACGTATCGATATTTACCGAGTGCTCTCACGATCCGTCCAGTCGTTTCAGTCATATCCGATGGCCATGACGCGCTACTATCGTTCCAGGCTTCTTTGCTTTGCTGTGTCACGCAGCTAGCGAAACCTGATCGTCTTCCCCGGACATTGCTGTGCTACTGCGTGTGCTGCGAACCCCACGGATATCACTCTTAGCGGGCGATCAATGGTAATGCAGTGCCGGTCAAGCTTGGTGGTGTGACGTCGTCTAAGCACCGATGATTGTCGGTGAGGGGGCTTAGCGTCGTCATGATTCATCCGTTACTTCCGCATCGTCAGGCTGCATTGGAGTCGTGTCTGGGTTGGCAAAGAACCTGTGTCGATGGGCAGAACAAAAATCTCTGGCATCCACGAGTTACCTACTTTGCGTAAATAGGTGTCGAGAGTCGTTGGGTGGAGGCTGGATATGAAACCACTTCGCAGTGGAGCTCAACGTCTTCCACTACAACGAGGTGTGCGAGCCAGCGGATGCCTGCCATTAAAGCAGCACGGTCTGCATACTGAAGCGAGTGATTTACCCGCTGCAGAATCGATGCAGAAATATTGATACTCAAAGGATACCGAGAGGTACCCGTGGCACAACTATCGCTATACAAATACCGCTGCTCGCTATTACATGCCGATTAGTCTACAGACAAAATAGCACTTTAGTTCAAACTCCTTGGATTTATACATGTACCTCAAAGTTATGTGTGCTCAAGCAGGGAGCCCAATAACTGTAATCCCAACACCAGCCACACAACACAACCCTATACTCGCCCAGACGACATATACAGACAGCGAAACCACCATAATACCTCCTCCATCATCCCAGTGTAAGCCACAACTATTATTCTGGTACGCATATTGTGCCGCGATAGAAAATTTAGAGAATGCGGGAGGCCATGCGGCGACAACAAGCTTTGCGACATGGAAAACCCGATAGGTTCAGGGCGCGACAATGGAGTTAAACATGAGTCGAAAGATGGGTTATGTGGTTGATATTGGTGATACGTTACAGTTATACGGACAGTGGAGCATATTTTGGAGAATGTCAAGGTATTCTTGCTCTGGATTGGACTACAGTAACGGGGTTCCCCGTTGTCCTCCTCTAGTCAAATTCGCTACGAGAAGCAATTGACACAATTTACAATCGGCCGAGATTAAACTCTATATAGAGAGAACTCCATACAACGATATGTAAATTGCAGAACTTGGAAGCCCCAGAATAGTGTCTAACCATGACGTGTGGGGGGCCTTGGAATGTGACCAGTAGGTGGAGATTCAGTAGAACCCACACACCCAAAGTCACATGTTTCACGCTTGAAATGATTAGCTTATGCGGTATAAAAGATTACAAACATCTTACCTTCTCCATGGCGGCTTCATCAGAGCGTGCTTTTGTGGGGGGCCGAGAGGGAGGATGAGTGCCGGTAGAAGGAGTAGTGCCCTCACACTGTACACCGTTACATGCATCCTTGTAATGGTTAGCTTATGCGGACTATAAAAGATTACAAAGATCTCACACTGTCTCTAACGGCGTTTTTAAAGTGTGCATTTGGGACAGCGGCCGCAAGACCCAATAGTGCAGCACAAACGATAAGAAACTTCATGATGAAGAGAATAGATAAGAGAACTTGTTGAAGGTAGTTTTGATTGGAGGAGGAGGATGTTGTTGAATAGCAATTCCGGGGTGTGAAGAGATCTCATTTTATGTTCATTCTGTGTGTCGGATTACAACCATAGCACGCGCCACCAGGGGGTTGATCGAACCTTACAACGTGTATACCGCCAATCTTTCGGTAATTACCATTCAATCGTATTACTCCATAAGACTGTGTCGTAGCTGAGAGTAAATAAAACTTTGACAGTTGTTCAGTCGATATCACGAGTGAATGATGTCAAATCTTGGGGCCTGTCAAGCCAGGGGTTGTTCCTTCCTGCAGTAGGGAACCTGGGTAGAAGTTCTGTTAGGTGACGGTATCAAATTCGTTCCCTATCATCGTTTGGTATCGTTTGGTATCGTTTGGGAGCCGTGGTTTTGGGGGTCGCTGTCCCAATGCGGTTGACTGTACCATGGTATCATTTCCTTCGCGCGCACACTGGAAGGGGATCTTGGGTAACCAACACCATCAATACCAAGGCAGCATGGATTGAATGAAAGGCAGAATAGAGGAAATGATACTGGCTGTGTTGAGTATTACATATAGAGCCGGTTCGCACGCAATGGAGTGAATTGCATGGAGAATTGGCAGACATGCGGTTGTAATCCGGTCCGCCGCGGGCCTAATCCGGTCTGCTGTGGTCCTAATCCAGTCCGCAACAGTCTTAATCAGGCCTGCCGTAGTCCTAATCCAGTCTGCTGCGGTTCCAAGGTTCTGATCCGGTCCGCCGCGGTCCGCCGCGGTCCTGATAATGTTCAGCACCACTGTGTTCTCTTATGAGCCGTGACTCTGACTCGAGCTATCGATAACGGGAGACTTACTCCAACGACAACCAAAAACATTGATACCTATCATTATTTATCTTATCAATAAGATGTTTTCCGACAAAGTTTCTAGAGAACGTTCTGGCTTCTTGATACTACTCTTTGTCTTGAGTGTTTTTATATCGTATATATGGCCGAAGTCTATTACCTCTACAGATGATCCTTCATCACATTCATACACAGCACGAATACTCTCCTACGACCCGCTCATGATACACCTCGAGGGGTTCATCTCACCCTCTGAACGAGCCCACCTACTGAGTTTAGGGTATGTTCGCTTACCCGTCGATAATAATTCGAACTATATGCTAATATACCAACTAGAGAAGGCGCCTACAACAGATCGCAAGTCTATACCGGTACTAAAGACGATATTATTTCAGATTATCGCACGAGTGATACAGCGGTACTCCCGAACAACGACACCATCGTCCAACGTATCATATCTCGAGCTTCCAGCCTCCAAGGCTTCACACCTCTAGAGAACCACGAAAAACTACAACTCACTCGGTACAAGGCGGGGCAACAGTTCAAAGAGCATTGGGATCACTTTCAAGACGAAGACATACCAGCGAATGAGACACAGAGAGTAACGACAATCTTTGCCATACTCGAGGCAAGTTGCGAGGAGTGTGGAACGAGATTTCCTCGGATTTCGGTGGATTGGTCACAAGAAGACCAGAGATGGTGCTGCTTCATTGATTGCAATGATACCACCGGCATCACTATCAAACCTATTCCTGGCAACGCGCTCTTCTGGAAAAACCTCAACGTTACTGGCGACGGAGACCACAGGACCTTGCATGCTGGTCTTCCCCCGCTTAATGGCACAAAAACTGGATTGAATATCTGGACCCATTGATGCTGCGTTACGATATAACTACCGTACAACACGGTGTAGTGGGGGGCAGCTAGATGATGAGCGTACATGCGGGCATGTATTAGAATTATGGGTATAGTCCTGTCAGATATCACGCGTTGTTACTAGAGCTCTAAACATCAGAAGAGGGGGTCGGGATACCGCCGGGTGCCGCACCCACTCAGACATATACAGAACAATGTTGTAACGCAACAAAGAAGCCACAATAAACATCTGTCCTTATATTTTGAATATCCACTACAAACATCGTTAATCTAATAGTTGAGAGTCTTATCTGCCTCTAACGTCCGGGGTCAGTAAGCTGCGTACCCCACCTAACGTGGCGTGACCGTCCACACAATACCTAGCTCCACAATAACATAGGGTAACAGAATAGAATTCTGTGCATGGCTAGGCTATTACTATATGAAATAGGTCCTTATATGTCCTTAACCGTGGCACTTCGTATACGTTAGTGGAGCGCGCTAACATCCCTAAGTAGCCTAAACTTGTTCAACCCCCGCGACCACCCTTCCTACCTTGAAAGCGAGCTGCTAGCGGTTTCCGTGTATAGATTGTGGGCAAGTCGAAGTTAGGCGTGGCGTGGCTGCTATGGCCATCTAGGATAAGAAGCCTGTAGACTCTATGTGTACGAGGTGCTGTATATCTGAAGTGCTTCATCCACTCAACACCAAATCGATCAATGACATAAATGCAAATTAGACTTATTCTTTCACATACGACCACAGGACATCGAAAATAGCGCTTCCCGTTCGCTCAGCGGTACTCAAGCGGTGTACCGGCGGATTAGTAGTCAGGTGGGTGACCACTGGCGAATCCCCGCTGTTGTATGTTTTTGCCATTTTGCATTCCACCTCCATCTCTACCTTTGATCATAAAGCTAGCAACCCGCAGATCTCTCACATACGACCATAGGACATCGAAAATAGCGCTTCCCGTTCGCTCAGCGGTACTCAAACGGTGTACCGGCGGACTAGTAGTCAGGTGGGTGACCACTGGCGAATCCCCGCTGTTGTATGTTTTTGACATTTTTTTGGGTCCTGGGCGACTTACAAATGACGGTGTGAGGATAACGACGATTAAAAGGGAGGAGACCATAGAGGGCAAGACCAGAAGAAAGAACAAGGTGAAAAAGAGGGCTGATCTATGCAAGTTAAGTTGTGGAAACCTGACTGTATTCTGCGTTTTATTTAAGTCAGATGTAGTACTACCTACATATCAGTCCCTTCTTTGTACACCCAGTACCGAGAAAGAGCAAAGACTGTGCCCAATACGTCAGACAAGGGTTCCCAAGATGGTCTTGTTTCATGCTCTTCCTCAGCCGACGGGATGCTTCAACTTTCTAGGCCCCTACTTCATAGCTTTCCGTAGCTGAGACAGAGTGGCCTTTCCAGCTCTACTATCGTTTGGCCTTCCAAGCTCTTGCGATATCCATTCACCCACTTCCGAAAGTTTCTCAATATCAACTCCAGTCTTGGCACCCAAGCTATGGAAGCAATGCACCAAATCTTCTGTCGCAATATTGCCGGTTGCACCTGGGCTGAATGGACAGCCTCCCAGACCACCTACTGCGGCATCAAAAGTGCGGATTCCATGTTCAAGTGCGACCACCGAGTTTACCAGCGCTTGACCGTATGTGTCGTGGAAGTGTAGTGCCAAATCGCTCTTATCCACACCAGCTGCATTGAGTGTTTTCAGCAGCTCCAACGTCTTGGGCGCGGTACCCATGCCTGTAGTATCCGCTACGGATATCTCATCAGCCCCCATTTCCAGCAAGCTCACGGCCAATTCCGCAACCTTGTGTGGGTCGACATCGGGTCCTTCATACGGGCACCCGAGTGCCACGGAAATATACGCTCGCACATTTAGATTCATTTCCTTTGCCTTCGACATGATCGGCTCGAAGCGCTTGAGCGACTCGGCTATGGAGCAGTTTGTGTTCTTTTGTGTAAACGATTCTGTCGCGGCGGTGAAGATGGAGAGCTCGTGTATGGGAGGCGTTGAGTTGTGATTTTTGTTCATGGCGTCGGCGCCGGAGGATGCGGAGGGCATGGCATTGGGATCGGACGAGGATGTGTTCAGGGCGGGGCCATTATCGGTACCGGGGGAGGGTGGAGGTGTAGGATACGCGTCGTGTCCTGATTGCGATTTGGACTGCCAGGTGGAGAGGAAGTTGTCGAAGCCCTTGACGTTTGGCAGGAGCCATTGGTATGTGATGGGATGCGACGAGTGTGGCGGTGAGGAGAGTAGTCGCTCAAGTATTTCAGCAGAGTTGGCCATCTGTCCTGATCGTCAGTAAATCACGTCGGTAAACCTCCCTGGTGGACTAGCTAACCTGCGGTACCCATTTCGGCGAGACAAAAGAGCCCGCCTCAATGGTCGTCAAGCCGGTTCGCGCCAGTCTCTCTACCAGCTCTATCTTGGTCGCCAACGGGATAGTCTTCTTCTCATTCTGCAGCCCATCTCGTGGTCCAACTTCTACAATACGAACGTGGTCGGCGCGGCTAGAAGCGGCCGAAGCGAATGTTCTTCGACGACACGGGTGGCGCGCAGCAAGACGCGCAGAACGAAGGCAGAAGAGCTTTGATGACATGTTGAGGGACTAACAGATGGTACTGTAGTAATCGGCTCAGGGTCTGGTGAAAGGGTACAGGATGACGTGCATAGTTTCAAAACACTTTGTGGGGGTGAGGTTGCAGTGCGGGGATCATTCATCGAGGTGGAACGAGCTTCTCTGCATGGCCCGCTCACCTCATCCCAGCTCGGAGCTCCCACGTAGCTTCGCACACGATCACGAACCCGACGATAGAGGACCCATCAAGTTATCAGTACTGCCTTATCGCAAAATACGACGCACGATGTAGTAGTCATGCGCTTGCCAAAGATTGCAGAGGCCCAAGGCTAGGGTTCTAATTGACCATGTTTAGGCCACACCTACGCCATTGATATGCACGCCAAAAAAACCCTCGGAGCGTTCACTTGAGAGACTATTCCATGGGTAGAGGGATGAACCATGGGGAAGCAGTCACGCGATGGATGACCTCTCCGCAAATCTCCACGATATGCTCGCTTTCTGGAGTCAAAATTACATGTGTCTTGTGCACAGGGCTAATGTTCATGGAGGCTAGACAAGCGAAACCTTGCCGGCAGTGCTTTAGGCCGTCAACGGGTGTCCAATCGCCGTCTCACGTGCTAGCAACTGCCTAGCGGCATTGTAGTCATCTATCAAAACCCGGCTGGCCGCTCTTATTGAATCATCTTGGAGGGTTGTGCAGGTGCGTCCGCGTGTTCAAGAGCCGGAAGTATCGAGCCTGGGGAGAATATCGGCGCTAGAGCCCAAGACCCAGTGTGCCCCATCGACGGTGCTCGTCACTAGCTCAGAGTGCTTGTGGAGAAACCAAAAGAGAGGTCCGAGGAGTACTAGCTGCATGTGCTACCGCAGCCGCCGGTTGCTCAAGATGCTGCGCTTAGAGATGCGATCATCTCGTCAATTGCTACGGGCAAGATACAGTCCATGACAGCGGGGGAAGCCTTTCTCAATTGAGTGTGAGCCTCGGCCTGGTGCAGAAGCTATTATCAATGTCTACTGTCGGACCGGGCATCGTAAGATAGAGGGTCCGGGAAGCGAAGTATTGGAGTCTTTCCATGACGCCGGAAGAATTGCTTGGGCGGAGATTAGGACTTTGTACGGTCGCTATATGGCCTGCTCGCTTCGCCATGTCCCACCGGCCATGGTCAGTCTTGCAGGCTACTGCCCCTCAGGCATCTTGTGTTTGATATGATGCGCAGGGATCACTGGGGTCATTGTTCGGAGCTTCATGGGGAATCTCGCAAGGCGCAACTTTCCTATCAGCGTCCGTGGCCGTTGGTGGCCGTCCAACGGTTGGCCGCCCTGCCGGCATCCGTGAGGCTGAGGGGACTGGCCTGGTCTCCAAGGCATGGCAGCGATATTGCAGAGACACATGGGGTAGCAGAATCATGTCAGTAGTGTGGGCGAACGAGGCCTGTGTCTCTGCATCCCCATACTCTACCCCGCGTGTGCACAACAGGGCGGGTGCATTGACGATGAGGGCCTGAGATGAAAACCTGGTCTAGCAGCACAAAGGACCATCTGCTGACGAAATTGAAGTTGCTTGTTACCTGAGACAAATCGTTGAGTGGTGGAGCTGGGCCGCAAATACCAAAGTAGCGTGTGTCCCCGATGCGTGTCTGACTTGGCACTCACGTGCGCGATGGCACGATCAGGTTAGCCCATGGGCATCGGTGAGGCGCGCGATTCGAGCAACGAGGCCGTCGCGAAGGCGTCTGACACTGTGTCCAGGGCAAACAAGGTGTTTGCGAAACAGGCTGGGGTCTGAGTGACGGCGCACCGGGGGTGGATAGAAGTTAGTTGCTTGCTAGCTGGCTGGCTGACTACTACGAGAAGCGTTCGGCAAACTCTTGCGGCGGCCCGAAAGAAAGCCACGGCATATAGGAATCAGTATAGCAGAGCAGCTCGAAGCGGACGGGATGAGTAAAAGGGGATGAGAGAGGATAGGCTGGAGAGCAGGGTAGCAAGTAGATCAAAGTGCAAGGCAACGGCGAGGGCGGCAAGCCGTGGGGGTTTGTGAGGATGATGATGGTCATATCTCGCACTCATCAGGCGTGCATGGCTGTTATCACAGCGGGCGGTCCCACAAGAACGGTTCCAGTTCTGCCAAGTGTCTGCGGAGCAGGCGACAGCAAGCTCACGCACGCTTCACGCAGGACAGTCAAAAGGCGTCGGGTGTTCAAGGCATCCTAGCGATTTCGTGCAGGTTTGCATCATCCACGCCCAGCCCGTCCTGCCTTCTATGTCATCGCAATATCCGCGCCCGCCGTCAGACGTTCGCTGCTGGTGTCTGGTGGCCGGTCGCGTGCAAAGGATAGCAAATTGCATGACGCTTTTGCAGCCAGGCGACGTTTGCGATGCGGCAATGTAAATGCACGCTCCATCGGGGCTCCGGGGTGGTGGCTTTGCGGGGTCTATCACTGTGTACTGTCTACTGTTGTTGTCGCTGTCGCTGTCGCCGTCGCCGCTCAACTATATCAACAAAAGCATGTCGTTGTTGTGCGGCCGTCTTGGCTGACGGGAGGCTTCATAGGCCCGCAAGTGCTGACATTGGCTGCTCTTCTACACAGCTTCGATGCATCTTCGCGACGGCACCTTTTGATCGCCTCGGTCGGCTCCGTGACGGCTTGAGCCAGGTCATTCGTCCGGTCGGGGCCATGGGGAGGTTAGGTTCTCGGGTGCTAAACCCTGACGCTATCAGCAGCGCGCGCTGGCTGTGCAGACGTGCAGACGCACCCACAAGCCGAGCACGTCCTCGCGCAATTCACCCCCTTCACCCCGGAGCACTCGAGACAAGCTCTCTCAATGGCTGGGTTGCCTTAGCTCCTCCGACGTTAGCGGCCGGTAGGAGATCGTGCCTCTCCCGCTGCTTCATTGGTCGAGGCACCGTGGCGTCCAGCCCTCTCCGTCCTGCAGCAGGCCACTGTCGCCATTCATGGGCCTTTTGCCGGGGTCAAAACCATTTTCCACGATGTAACCCGACCCTACCTCGCCCGACCCTGCAATTCGCCGCGTCCGTGTGGGGTGTAGTAGGGGTTGCCACAGTCCAAAGCCTCGCAGCCGCTGCGAGAACATGCGGGCACCTGGCCTACTCGCTGCAGGCCACATCCTTCATGCACATCTCTCAAGATGACCACCTCTTCTCCTAATATCCTAGCGTCCAGTATGCCGCGGCATTTTGCATCCTACCCCTTGGCATGCCAGAGCCTTGCCCGCTAGGGCCCTGTCCTTATCAGACGGGGACCAAGCTTCCTTTACCCAGACCCGTCGAGCCAAAATAATACAAACCCACCGTGACGCGCTTCTTCTATGCTCCATTGAGTATTGCCCCTCGTCTTCTTGTCTATTCTGTTTATACGCCTACTATACACGCTCCACATTCTATCCTGCAGATGCAACACTGTACAAGACTGCAATAACACCTCCTCTTTTATACCCAACACCCACCATCATGGCCGTCTCACCCACCACCCAGCCTGTAGAGGCTCAGAAAGTAAACACTACTACTGCCGCTGCCACCACTACCACCGCAACCACCACCACCAACAATGCTGCCGCTGCCCCAAGGAAACGGAGAAGAAGAGCTCCCGCTACTGGAGCTACTGACGACTGCTTTGCTTGCAAGAAGCGTCAAGTAAAGTGCGATCGACGCCGTCCGTACTGCGGTCAGTGTGTCGAGATCGGCAAGGAATGCTCTGGATACCGCACCACTCTCACATGGGGTGTTGGAGTAGCCAGCCGTGGAAAGCTTCGAGGCATGTCTCTGCCCATTGCAAAGTCGCCCCCATCCACTGCCACACAGGAGCCCAAATCACAACGGATCAACTCTGTAGTCTCCACCAGCACATCCTCGTCCAGCAGTGCTCAGCAAGATCAACATCACTTCAACACCAGGGCTAGCATAGACTTTGGCGCACCATCCCCAAGGAGTCCCACAAGTCCCATGTATTCCGCACCACAGGATTACCAATACTACAGCCCGACCAGTCCAATCCCTATCCCAACTCCTTCGCCCTCAATGTCATTTCCCATGCAACATCACAGGGATCATTTTGAGTTCCTACATCCCCAGGCTTCCAAGTTCAGGCATCACCAACCACACAGAGGTCCTCTTCAACGACTACAAACCACTCTTCATGTTCCTCTAGACGACTATGGCATGTCTGCCTCGACTGCCTCATTGGGCACATATAGCGATAGCGACTTTCCCTCACCAAGCGAGTTTCCCAACACCCCAGTCGACGAATACCCCTTTGCCGACCCGTCAATGCCTCGCTACCCATCCTTTGACCACGCGCCCATGAGCTCCTTGGACAACTACTTTCTCCATGAGGCCCCACGTTCATTGCCCATGGGCGACGACATGAGCTCGAGCGTAAGCTCAGACCAAAGTATACACGACTATCCTGAAGTCAGCACAGCCCCGCAAAGTATGGGCCCCGTTACATTTCAAGATGTGTTTGTGGAGGGAGAGATGAGCTCGAGTTTCAACGGCTTCCAACCCGGTTTCTCCTTTCTCCCATCGGAGGGTATGTCTTCCTATGGCTCTGGCCCCCTGTCTCAAGACGTTCTGTCGCTCACCACTTCTATTCCTCAGAGCCTTACCATCACTTCGCCCCTTTCCCCGCGGATGCTATACCTTCTGGACTACTACGACAGATTTATATGCCCGGTGCTGGTGGCTTTTGATAGCCACAACAACCCCTACCGGATGCACATCATCCAGCTGGCCATGCAGAATGAGGAGCTGCAAAACGCCATCGGCGCTCTGGCCACGAACAACATGCGCATGCGAGGAGGTATTGAAGGACGCCGATTGAGCGTTCCTCACGATACCCGACTCATCCCAGCACATGCCTACTCGGAAATGACTGCCCGAGAACTGCGCGAAATGCATGGCGAAGCAACCGATGAAGAGAAGCACTACAAGGCCAACTCCATCGCTCTACTCAACAAGAAGCTAGTCGACTTTGACGGTTCGCAGGACGACTCTGTCCTAGCTACGCTTCTTATCCTCTGCCTCTTCCACGTCTGCGATTCTGGCTTCACAAAGTTCAAGACCCAGCTCGCTGGTGTACAGAAGCTTCTGAGTCTGCGGGATAGAACAGTTCAATCAGAATTTGTCGGATGGATCGAGACCTTCTTTACTTGGTTCGATGTCATGACCGCTGCAGTCAACGACCGAGAAATCGAGGTCCGCGGCGATTCCCTTGACATGATGAACTTGAGCGCCAACTTGGGCTCAATGGAACACCACTCTGGTTGTGAAGGGCGGCTCTTCAAACTCATTGCGCGGCTCGGAAGACTCAACTTGCTCAGTCAGAATCGACCTGTACGCGATGATGACGAGACACCCACTTCATCCCCTCGATCGAAGAAGGCAAAAGACTTTTATTCTTTTAGCTTTGACAATATAGACGGCAGCGATTGGGCCACACCTATTGCCGAAGCACGAGATCCCTTTTCATCCGCACACGACGATGCCCGCTCCGAGTTCTGGAAGGAGTGGAACGATCTACGGAACAGACTTCAAGAGTGGGAGTTTCCCTCACCCGGTGACATGCAATCAACATCTTGCGAGGCTACATCTTCCATGCTCGCCATGTCTCCCGAACAAGCAGCACTTCTCCACATCAGCGAGAGCTTCCGCTATGCAGCGCTTCTCTACACTGAGCGTCTAGCACAACCCACTCTCCCTGCATCGTCTCTCAACTTCCAGAACCTGGTCTCACAGGGTCTATACCACATCTCGCAAATCGGCATCACAAGCTGTGTCAACAAATTCCTCCTCTGGCCACTGTTCATTGTGGGCACAGAGTGTGTGGATCCCGAGCACCGTGCTGTTGTACGACAGCGTTGTGTTGAAATCCAACGCGAGAGCGGCTTTTTCAACAACCTCAGCGGGCTCGAAGTTCTCGAGCGTGTGTGGCGTGAGGATGACGAGTGGACCGACGGCGATATTCAGATTCCCCGACAAAACGGCCCTTTTAGCACAGTGCAACATCCCTTCCGGTGGAGGAGAGCCATGGACCGCATGGATGGCGAGTACATTGTTCTTTGATTACTCGCGACGGCTTGCTGGTTTCGAGCTTTGACGTATACGCGAGCATATGTTCTTATTTCATTGGTTCTTACTTTTCATACGAAGCTTACGACGGACGGCGAAAATACGCGCACGAATATGTTATGATATAGGCTATGGGATTATTATGTGGGTCATTATTGGTGGGTAAAAGGGCACCTAAAGTTTTCGGCTCTTTTCTAGTAATCTGTGGTATTATCTGTAGTTTGTAAGATGTTTTATGCAACAATGAATCATTCAATCGATGAAAGCCCAACAAATACAAGACATTTCCCTCATCAGTCTCTCCATCTTCCCATGTGAACACAATAAGCAGCCCCACGCGAGGCTGCACGAGCAACGAACATGCAACCCCTCTGTCCCCAGCCCAAGCAGCTCAACCCAACACAGCGGGTCACAAGTGCCGTTGCACTGCACCCCTAGGCAAAGCAAATCTCACACCAACAAACCCAGCCAACTCACCGGTTTTTTCTTCTCTCGTAGCAGTTCACAGTAAACGCCCGATCCTGCCCTTCGCACAAGCACGACATATGCAGACGCAGATGCGTTTTTGATTGCATAACGGTAATTCCATCATCCCGCCTTGCGTATATTAAACCCCCCCGAAAACTCCACCCAACTAAAACGCCGCCTTTACAAAAAAAACCCACATGTACCCAACCCATGGCACGTGCCCCACACCGTCTCAACATCGATATCGTCATGATCCAGACAATTTAGCACATGCTGCCTCCGTCTGCAAAGAAAATAAGGGCAGGGAAAACAGTCCGCGGAACGCAACGTTGTGTGTGATGGAAGCTGACACTTCAGCTCACCTGCACCACTGCATTCTGC